TATAAGAATATGCAATGAAAAATGGGGTGTTCCATTTAAAAAAATTAATGTGACCTTGACCTGACCTTCGCTACGCAACCCAAGGTCAAACTGATGTGATCAGTAAATACATCTTTTTAAACGCCACAACTTTTATCTGAAACATTTTTTTCTAAAATGCTTAGTTTTCGAGATATTTCACCGGTCCGGGACTTTTTGAACACCCTGTATATATATAAGGTGTAGTAAAAAGAAAACCATTATTTTTGCATGAAATTGAAGGCTTTATTTAGCATAGTTAGAATGATCCGATTTAGGTCAAACATGCACCGTTCTGTTCGATAACTTGTTGCCATTTTGAAGGTAATTCCATTATGCCTCTCTCATAGAAACCCTTGTCCCTATTGGCAAAAAACAGAGACAGTCGATTTTCACAAGCTTCTCTTGAGGTGAATTTTTCACCAGCAAAATCATTCGCCACAGACAGGAACAGGTAGTAATCACTTGGTGCCAGGTGCACTATAAGGTGGATGCATAAGAACCTCCCAACCAAGCTCCCGGAGCTTCTGGCGAGTCACTATCGATGTGTGTGGCCTGACGTTGTCATGATGGAACACAATTCCTCTCCTATTGGCCAAAGCTGGCCGCTTCTGGGCGATTGATTCCTTCAGACGGTCCAATTGTTGACAGTACAGGTCCGAATTAAGAGTTTGGCCGTAGGGGAGCAGCTTATAGAGGATGATTACCTGCCAATCCCACCAAACATACAGCAAAGCCTTCCTGACCGTCAATCCTGGCTTAGCCACCGTTTGCGCCGGCTCATCGCGTTTCGCCCACGACTGTTTTTGCTTGACGTTGTTGTAAATGATCCACTTTTCATCACCAGTCACCATCCGCTGCAAAAATAGGTCGATTTTGTTGCGATTCAGCAGCGATTCGCAGAAAGAAATTCGGTCCATGAGGTTTTTTTGCGTTAACTCGTGTGGCACCCATACATCGAGCTTCTTTTTGTATCCAGCTTTATTCAAGTGCTTCCAAACGGTTTTTTGTGCAATGTTTATCTCCTGGGCAATCGAAACAGTGCTTACATGACGGTCGGACTCCACGATTTCCATTATTTTATCGACATTTTCGACAATTGGCCTTCCAGAGCGTGGTGCATTTTTGACATCAAAATTACCGGAACGGAACTGACGAAACCAAAATTGCGCGTGATTGGCTGTTGCAGTATCAGGACCATAAACACTATTCACATTTTCAGCTGTCTGGCTTGCGTTTTCGCCTTTATCGAAGAAAAACTGTAAAATATGGCGTATTTTCTCTTTGCTGGTGTCTATCTTTGACGCGCGCTCAAACAATACTCAGTCAAACAATCACAAAACTGTCTGAGAAGTTTTTTTAGTACAAAATCTTATCTTTCTAACGCCATCTAGCGTAAACCGATCGCATTTATACAACGTAAGATACACATTACTAAAGCCATCTATTGGAAAAATAATGGATTTCTTTTTACTACACCTTATATATGTACACACACACACACGTACACACACACACACACACACACACACACACACACACACACACACACATATATATATATATATATATATATATATAATTGGCGTAAAAAACATAAAAAACTTAAAATTTTAAATAAACTTAATTTTTATACTAGAAATTTTTATACTAGAAATCTTTTTTATAGAAATAATATATTTATGCATATCACGTGTTTGTTGACTTACGCAAGAAACTCAACATTTTAACTAAAATTATTCATTTTTATATTAAAAATCGTTTAAAAAAAAAACATTTCTACATATACATATATCACATATATGTTGATTTATGTAAGAAACTTTTAAATGTAACCGAACTTAATAATTTTTATATTAAAAATAATTTTATATAAAGAAATAATGTATCTGTACGTATATACATATCAAAG